ACGGTGTGAAGCGCGACATTCGTAGCCCAAGTGGGTAGAGCGTTGGCTTGGCGTAAAGGCCACTCTCCTATGTGGGTCCAGAATGCCGCGAGTTTTTTCACAATTGGGTCAACTAAATTAACTAAATCTGCCAAACAAACTTAATAAGACGCTATTCCTCAAAGTCCTCTTTCGTGGGGACGTGGCGAGTGAACTGTTGAAAAGACGCCATGACCAAGCCGTTTCACGAACCTTACCAGCAGCGAGAGTTTGGGTATGCTTTTCAGTCGATCCAAAATTACATGAGGAATGTAAGGATGGGTTACCAGCTCAGACCACCCTCATGTGCACATACTCATTTACTTGTTCCTGTAGAGCAGGTTATATCGGTCGCACGAGTCGGCCCTTATCCACACAAATACGAGAGCACCTCCCAGCATGGCTCAATTCTGGCGCACATGGTTGCTACCGGACATCGGGTGGATCCCAAAGAGGCCTTCCAAGTGAACAGTCAAGGTCCCAACAACTTAGCCGGCGTCGTGGGCACAAAAGAACTGTTGTAGGAGTACAGGCACTTAGTTTTAAGGGGGCGGAAGGTCGGGACATGTCAGGGAACGAACTAGATCGCAATAATCCTGTAAATTAAAAAACTGAAGAGTTGAGGCGCGTACGCAGACCTCGGGCGGGAACACTGAAGAAGGCTTTAATACCATCGATAACTCACCTACTGGACCAACGTCGAGTGCATGCATGTCGGTGGGGGGGCGTGTGCCCTAAGCTCTGGTGAGATCATTGAGGTACATTGTTTAGTAATGGAATAAAGGTAAACCAGCAATTAAGTTCGGAAGATCGTGCGCATTCGCCCTATTTAAACTTTGTAAGTAGGCGGTTATTCCGGTGGAAAAAGCCGAAATGACTTAAGTGGTTATTGTACAGAGTGGCCTTCAGAGCACCCCTCTGCAGTTTAATATCACCATCCAATCCCTCCTGGATCGACGGCCGACGTGCAGGAAACTGGCAGCTTGTGAAATATTCCACCTACTTAAAATGTGTTAGTAGGTGGTTGTAGTACATAA